TTTCTTTCTTTTTCTTTTCTCCTTTCCTTTCCCCCTTCATTTCCTTTTTTCTTTCCTCTTTCCTCTTTTCTTCCTTCATCTTCCTTCCCTTCCCTGCTCCCTGCTTCTCTCTCTCTCTCTCTCTCTCTCTCTCTCACACACACACACACACAGAGTGAGACACACGCAGCAGAAGCCTCAAGGGTCTGGAGCAAAGAAGGCTGAGTCAGGCACTTTGCTTGGCGTAGAACTTTTAATCAGGGCAGGAAGGAAGTGCTGCTAAACGGATTTTCAAGGAGCTGCTTGGGAGGGAGAGAGCAGGAAGACCAGCCGAGCTCTTGGCAGAAACCTGGCACAGAAGCTTCAAAGAAGTGGGGGGGAGGGGAGGATGAACGGGGAAAGCGACACCCCAAAGCCCCCACTGGGTGCAATTGGGTGTACGTCTTCCAACGATCGCTGCCACCATCACATTCTCCCCATTCCGATCTTTTTCCAAAAACCTTGTGAGAGCCAGAGGGATGCAGAAGTGGGGATTTCTCTTGGGGGGTGAGGGAAGCACCCCAAGATGCAGGAGACACCCTTGGGGGACCCAGGCATTCAGTCTGCAGCTGTGGAAACAGAAGAGGGAGTAACGCATTGAAGTTTCACCAACTTAGAAAAACGCTCATGCAAAGCTGAACCGTTGTCTCAAAAATACTTTCTGCAAGGGGGTGAAAAGGGGAAGGCAGAAAAATTCTCCCTTTAGAAAAAAAGAAGAAGAGAGGAAGTGTTTTGTTTTTTTTAAGGAAGTAGGCGTCAAAGTCTGCTGTTCCAGCTAGGAGAGGAAAAAGCAGAATAATCTTTGGAGATTGAATGAATGGGAAGTGATGACAACACATCAGGCTTGTGAGCATGGCCGCTGGGGATTTAACAGAATAACAAGAGTTGGAAGGGACCTTGTAGGTCATCTAGTCTAACCCCCCTGCTCAAGCAAGAAACTCTATACCGCTTAAGGCAAATGGTTGTCCTCTTCTTAAAAACTTCCAGAGTTGGAAGTGTTCACAACTTCTGGAGGCAAATCATTCCAGATAACAGATAATCAGAGTTGGGAGGGACCTTGTAGGTCATCTAGTCTAACCCCCTGCCCAAGTGGGAGACTCTACACCATTTCTGACAAATGGCAGTCCAATTTCCTCTTGAAAGTCTCAAGTGATGACATTCCCACAACTTCCAAGGTCCAGCTGTTCCATGGGTTGATTGTTCTCACTGTCAGAAAGTTTCTCCTTATTTCCAGGCTGAATTTCTCCTTGTTCAGTTTCTATCCGTTATTCTTTGTCTGGCCTTCGGGTGCTTTGGAAAATAGCTTGACCCCTTGCTCCTTTCTGTGGCAGCCCCTCAAGTATTGGAAGACTGCTATCATGTCTGTCCTGGTCCTTCTATTTAC